GTGTGTGTGTGTGTGTGTGTGTGTGTGTGTGTGTGTGTGTGTGTGTGTGTGTGTGTGTGTGTGTGTGTCAGGAGCTGGGTGCAGAAAGCCTGCAATGCCTGCACCATCATCGTAACCGTATCGGACTGGAAAGATAGCTCGTATACATTCGTAATCAGGTTGCTTTGTGTTTGGGGGGGAAGATGGAAGTGTCAGCACGGTCAGGTAGGGGTCCAGTATGTGTTTTGCGGAGTCTGTGATTGGAACGGTTTCAACGTCGAGGGACTCTGACGTTCAAACTTGTTGTGGATGTGTGTGGTATCCATTTTGCAAATTTGCAGGCTATAAGGCATTTGTTGATGCGTGTGTGGTTGAGGGTGAAAATGCTGAGGCAGCGAAATACATTCAGAAGATTCCGGATCTTAACGAGCGGGCAGAGGTAAGACAAGCACCTCACGTACTTAAAGGGTGATAAACTCCCTTTCTGTGAAGTTTGCACAGAAAAATACAAGCTCTTGATCTTTTGATTGTTTCCTCGCCACTATAGAAATCCCTAACCCCTACCCATTTGGTTGTCGTCCCTGGTTGTGAATGATATTCATATAAAATAAATACTTACTGGAAGTGCAAAGAAGGATCTCATGAACGTAGTTCAGAGAGAGAGAGAGAGAGAGAGAGAGAGGCCAGAGAGAGAGAGAGAGAGAGGCCAATGCCCACCACCTCTCCTATCCCCCTGTTACCTTCTGTCACCCTCCCCGTCCGCACCAGCCTCCTGCCTCCCGTCGGTGCCCCACTTCCAACTGCATTTGAGAGAGAGAGAGAGAGAGAGAGAGAGAGAGAGAGAGAGAGAGGCGCCAATGCTCACCGCCTCCACTATCCCCATGTTGCCTTCCATCACCTTCCCCGTCCGCCCCAGCCTCCTGCCTCCCGCCGTTGGCATCTCCTGCTCTCTCCCACCTCCCTGACCTCCCCACCATATATACCCAACCTCCCCCTCTTCCCCTCAGATGGAAGGGACGCTGAGAGAGAGAGAGAGAGAGAGAGAGAGAGAGAGAGAGAGAGAGAGAGAGAGAGAGAGAGAGAGAGAGAGAGAGAGAGAGTCCACCTTCTCTGAGCATTTGGACATTGTTTGTGTATTTCTCTCAGGCGTACGCACAAATTGGCATGATGGCTGAAGCCGCTGAAGCTGCTGAACAGTCAAAGGACAGCGAGCTGTTGAGCCGTTTGCGATCAACATTGACTGCAAACTCTGCTGCAGGAGCCCTCTTCGACAGCATCCGTGACCGTCTTGTTCCGGGCAGTTGAAATCCTGATCTGCGCCTCGTTCCCGGCGGGCGAAATTAGGATCTGGGCCACGCTGAGAAAAGGACAGCCGCTGCTGCTGTCGCTGCTGCCATTACTATCAGTGCTGCTACTGTTGCTTCTGCTTCTGCTGCAGAACAATGTGTTGCGATTCACGTGCTTGAATTGTCCCTGAGGACGGTGAGATGTGCATGGTCAGTGATACTTAAGGAACTTGGAGTGTATAATCATGCTGTTGAGCCTTCGTGTTTAAGTGGCGGATGCGGACTGAGCCAGGTTCATTAGGTTGCTCCTCACTGGAAATCGCGAAGGTGGCAGGGCAGGGCCTATGTTGCGATCTCGCAAACATGTAGAAGCGGCTGTGGATAAGAAAGAGGAGTTTGCGACGTTCCTGGTACTTCAACGGATTGACAAGAATCAGACACCCACTGACAGGCAATAGGAAGGGTCGAGCATTGCGGGTCGTGCGTCCGTTTCAGTCTGATGTATGGTGTTTGGGAGATGGGTATGTGTTCTGCAGCGGACGCTTGCATCCACTTCAAATACTACACCGACTTCAGCAGTCAAGCTTGAATGAGAAAACGCGATGGTCACCCTTCTGAGTAGCATCGCCCATGGTGTCACCCATGATGCTATGTGAGGCAACGATATGCAGGTTATGCATTTTACCCTAAGGTCTGCACCGGCTTGCTCTCTGCAAGGCGATGCTATGTATATCGTGCCTTGCTGAGAAGCTGCCTGTGCTATGGAAGGCAATGATGCTATGCCTGTCATGCTATGCAGGTCATGCTGTGTGGGTCACGCTATGCAGGTCATGCTGTGTGGGTGATGCTATGCCGGTCATGCTTTGCTAAGAAGCTGCCTGTGCTATGGGAGGCAATGATGCTATGCCGGTCATGCTATGTGGGTCACGGTATGCAGGCCATGCTGTGTGGGTCATGCTATGCAGGTCATGCTATGCGGGTCATGCTTTGCTGAGAAGCTGCCCGTGCTATGCAAGGCAATGATGCTATGCAGGTCAGCTATGTTGGTCATGCTTTGCCTAGAAGCTGCCTGTGCTATGCGAGTTGAGATGCTATGCAGGTCATGCTATGTCGGTCATCGAGCTTGTGCGGCTTGAGGAGTTGTAGAGGTCTGTTGCAGGCTTAAAGCATTGAAGCGACAAATAAAATCATCGACTCATTTGCCGATTCGCAGAACAGAAAAAGAGACGAAGTTGTTGTAGTTCTTCAGAATTGCACTGAGTCGAGGATGAGGTCGTTCTTCCAGGTTTGTAGAAATGAGAAGAGAAGACAAGGTCAGCTGAACAATAGCACAGGGTACGTATCACATTGCCTACTTTTCTTCTTGTTCCTTTGTGTGTTCTTCACCCTTCCCCTTGTGAGGACCTGCGAAGAAATTCACAAATTGCCATATGCACTGAGCGGCAAGAGGACAGAACTAGTGTATGCGCTAGAGCTCTTGCAAAGAACACACCCATATTTGATCGACAGATTCGACACCCTTGTAGTTCGTGCATGATGAATCGCCGCACGCACTTGCAGTCGTTCTGGCCAGGATGTATGCGGAACAAGTTTTACACCAGTCCCGTATACAAGGTGAATTCGCAAACTAGCCTGACTAGGAGAACTGTGGGCAAGTAGACTATGCATTTGGTCGTCATTCAGCATCCTCGCCGCAGCACCAGTTTTAGAGGAGAGGACTTGCGGCACACATATTGATTTAAATACGAACTTCATACGAGCTTCATAGAGTAGTTAGCGCCGCCAGCCTTTTGCAGCAGTTGGCGCAAGAGGCGGGCGAGGTCGCGTGCAGCCTTTGCCGTTAAGAATGTTGGTTGTTTTTTAAACTTCTATTCCCCATCACGTCGCTGGTCGATTTCTGGTACAGGGAAGGCCTAGTAAACATGATATTGAAAACTCTCAAGAACCATGCAACAAAAATTTGAAAATAATGTTAAGTTTAAATTTTAAATTTTAAAATTTTAAATAGTTCAACGAAGATGAAATCAAATTATCAAATAGGGGTCAACAGCGGAAATCATCATGATGGAAGTACTTCCTACCTAGTAGTAATTTTAATAATTTTAATAATTTTAATAATTTTAATAATTTACCCATTCCTCCCATTCCGCCCTTTGGAGAAAAAAAAAGGGGACAGGCAATACACAACTTTCTGATCATGATGAAGCTGCCAAAGGGGACGGAAGGGGTTGCTTTCCCGCCAAAAACGTTGTGGCGCCTTTTCACTGTTTCAGGCTTTTTTAATGCAGTCCATGTTTGATTTAGAGAACTCCTTAATGATCAGAAAGTTGGGTATTGCCTGTCCTTTTTTTTTCTTTTTTTTTGTATATTGCATTTCGGACCATTTCCTATGTCGTACTTCTTCAATATCGAAGAATGACTATGGACTTGACAGATTTAGAGACGACGGGTAGTTTCTGTAATTTTCTGTAATTTTCTGAACAATTATGTGTTTAGAATTGGAGATCCTGTAGAATCCATAGAGCCTTTCACGAAAGGTCTTTTGGGTAAGATCTAAAGTGGAAGGTATCTGTTCTGACACTTTACTTCTTCTTCTTCTTCTTTTTTTTTT